CCTATGATGTGTTTCTCTGCATTGTTTTGTTTAGTTCCATGATGTGTTTCTCTGCATTGTTTTGTTTAGTCCCATGATGTTTTTCTCTGCATTGTTTTATTTAGTCCCATGATGCGTTTCTCTGCATTGTTTTGTTTAGTCCCATGATGTGTTTCTCTGCATTGTTTTGTTTAGTCCCATGATGTGTTTCTCTGCATTGTTTTGTTTAGTCCCATGATGTTTTTCTCTGCATTGTTTTGTTTAGTCCCATGATGTGTTTCTCTGCATTGTTTTGTTTAGTCCCATGATGTGTTTCTCTGCATTGTTTTGTTTAGTCCCATGATGTGTTTCTCTGCATTGTTTTGTTTAGTCCCATGATGTATTTCTTTCCATTGTTTTGTTTAGTCCCATGATGTGTTTCTCTGCATTGTTTTGTTTAGTCCCATGATGTGTCTTTGCATTTTTTTTTATTTAGTCCCATGATGTGTTTCTCTGCATTGTTTTGTTTAGTCCCATGATGTATTTCTCTGCATTGTTTCGTTTAGTTCTATGATGTGCTAAAAACGACCAGCCTTTATAAAATCCCGGTGTTCAATTATTATACTTTACAAATATAGGTAACAAAAGTCTTGGTGTGGTATCTCAGATTTATTTATAGGGCAGATGACATTCACATTGTACATAGATACTAATGATACTCAATTTCAATACACCATAAGTCACTCAATGGACGCCACAATGGCATATGGCTACATTCAACTCCTAGCAGACTTAAGACTGAGTTCGGATAAAATACCGCCCTCTTCATGATGAATGACGTTACCGGTACAGGAGTCGAAAAAATAGAATAAAGAGTTTTGATGTCACACAAAATATCGTTTAAAAGATATACAAGTCGTTGAATTTATGTCATATTCCGGCAAAAGTCAATGACTTGGTCAACTTCCGGTAATTGTCAATAAATTCATGTCAACTTCCAACTATAGTCAATGAATTTGTGACAATATCCGGCAATACAGACCTTACTCGACAGCCCTGTGTAAAAAAAAATAATTTAAAAAAAATTCCCGGCGCCCTGCTTACTTCATGATCGCACGTCTCATACACAACTTCTAAAGTCGGGCAAACCGGATGACTTTTGAGTTACCCGTCCTTCTTCTGTTCGAACATTCGAACTATCGTACTCACTTTCTTCGGAACAATCTCGGACGATTGTCTGGACGAGGATTTATTTAAAGCTGTAGGTGGGGGTGGCGCCGTAAACACGTGAGATCTAGAAAGCCTAAATTCACCACATTGGCGCTGAGTTCCCGCGATGCCCGCATTTGGCGCAGGCAGTTGCTCGTCTGTTCGAGGCGGGTTGTCAGCGATGGGCTGTGTCTGATTGCGGCCCGCTCTAGGGCGGCCGACTTGTGAATTACTGCTATTTGCCGAACTAAAATTGTCCGTGTTTGTGGTGTTGCTACCAGTTGGTGTGCAATTTCGGTTTACTGTCGTGCGCGTTGGGTCGGTAGTGGTGCGCGTTGGGTCGGTAGCGGTGCGTAAGTGTACATTCCCGGACTCGTGGTTCGCTGACGTGCTCTCAATGCGTCGTGTAGAGGGTCTTGCAGATTCTTGAGGACATTGCTGACTGTTACTAACGGAAGTTGACGACGGGACGGACTGCGGTTTATACCAGTTAAAACTTGCCTGACTCGACGTTGATTTTGCTGTTTCCGTTTTCGACTCCCTGTTGGCGGCACATGAGATGCTCTCTGCGTTCCGTTGCGAGGCAGCCTTTGTACTCAGATGCATTTCAAGCGACTTGTTTCCTTTGGACCGTTGGCTTGATGACTTGGAGGTTGACTGCAGATGTTGTTCTAGTGTCATGGCTCCCGTATGGGTTTTAGCAGCTGCGCTGCTTAAGGCTTGTACGTTACCGATGCTGGACAGTGGATAGCGGCGTCTGTCAAACTTGCCGTCCCCCGAGTATCTAGAGCGTGAGTCCAATGACGACTTGCTTTGCGTTTTTTGGGACTCGGCCAATGACCTGTCATCGCAAGCCCTCGTGTCTTTATGTGTTCGACCTGTTCGCGATCTGACATCCCCGCGTCTGGGCGGAGTCTTCGCACGTCTTTTATCGTGCTCCTCAGACGGCGGGCGCTTCCTCTCCGTGGGATTTCTACACTTTGTGCCGCAGTGGAGTTGCCCAGTGCTAACCAACGTGTCACGTGATAATGGATTTTTTATTTGCCTGTCACGGAATTTGGACAGTACACTGTCTTTGATAGTAGAGGAATCGTTTATACTGGAACATTCCTTTCCTTGGCCCAAAACTGGCTTTGCAAAGTCACTTCCGGAGCTACCGAGCCGATTCACTGGCTCGCTTTCTTCGTGTTCCGGGAGATGAAATGGCTGGTTCCACTTCGGGTCTTTTAAAAATGAGTCGAAGTAGGACTGTTGCTCCAACGTGTCCGCCGATGGATTGTTTGAGTAAAAACTGTGCTGAGTTTCATTCTCGTTGTCGGAACTAAGTGGTTCAAGAGTGTTGTACCCACATGAATCATCGCCCCTGAAAGATGAAGGGGTACTAAACCGTGGCAGGTAGTTGGGAACAGGAGAAACAGTTGAAACCGGGCCGACGCTGCTTCTCTTGAGACGATTGGACGCCACCTCTTCAGGCCTGAACATAGATTTGACTCCACCACTTCTGTTTATCTTCGTTTTACAATCCCCTAAAGAGACCGCTGAAACCTTTCGAGCTGAATTCGAAATGTTTGGCCTGCTCATGGGTTCCATGGGAGAGAAAGTTGACAAATCAGATACCGACAAGTCGTCTGCCCCACCCATTGAACGTGTTACTTTGCTTTTGGTCGGTATTTTACTTTTCCATTTAGCGCCGACGTATTCATGAAAAGAACTATTCTCTCCGTTCGATAAATCGAAACCGTTTTCGTTTAAAATTTCCGAGATGTCTTGAATGTCGACCTCAGAAATGTCCCTCCCTGGGGGTACAAATTTATCCCTGGCCGTTGCGGTGACATCTGGCCGTGTCACGTGGGAAACGGACTTTGAATCCATCGAGAGTGACTCGGCATTGATAAAGATGTCGTCTCCCTCGAGGGTGTCGCTCCCAATCCAGCTGAGCACAATAGAGCTGGAGCTTCCCGACGACCGGCTGGAATGCTTGGGGTAGCCTGGTTCCTGCCTGCTGTCCTGGTGAAAGGTGTTCTCGTTTTCGGCGTTGATTGTGTCTATCGCCGACTGCGTAAGAAACATCTCCGATATTTTTATACTCAAATCAAAAGCACTCTCCTTCTCTTTCGCCTTCTTGTCACCGGGGGCATGGGAGACACATTTTGGCTCTTTATCTTGTGTAGTCCCCCTTTTTTTAGGATTCAAAGTTTTGTCCGACGATTTTGCTGTTCTCAAACCCGCGCCGTCTTCGGCTTCGACCGTGAGTTCCGAATTGACGTTACCACTTCCGTTTGATCGTTTCGTCGCTGCTCCAAAATTATCATTGTTTGCATTCCATGAGCGTAGATCTAAGTCTTTGCCGTTTTGGGGCTTCTTCTGTTCACATTTAAGTTGTTGAGACTCTTGATCCGGTTCGCGAGTTGCGATCTCCAAGTCGAGGGGGGGTTTCGCTCTCTGAGAGCTTTTCCTGCGTGTGCTAACGGGTTTTTCTAACAGAGCCTGAAGCTGCTCATCCTCTTCGCTTGATTTCGTGACGGAAGTAATGGATGACAGTTTGGAGGATCTCGAGATGATGGACGTGGGGCCTCGACTAACTACTGCGGCGTCCATTTTCTGAAGGAAATCCTCCAGCTTGGTCGCTCTGCTGTCACTTGTTGATTTCGTGCTCTGCGATGACATCATAGACGCGTAAGAAGTTTTCGTAGTCGGGCCACTGTTCTCCCTCGAGTGTCGGCTCATCAGTGGGCTAATGGTCAGACTGGACGCTTTTCTAATTCGACGTCCTCCTCTTACAAGCTTGTCACCCCCTTTGCTAAAAAAGCGCTTAGCCGTGGTCTGGATGCTACCGTCTGTGTGGGCGTCAATTTGAGTGAGTTCAGAGTTCAAAATAGCTTCCAAATCCTCCTTACTTTGCTCACTGGCTGCTTCCTCGCCATTCTCAACTAAAGATGACATTTCCTTTTTTTTTTGAAGTCCATTTACCTTTTTCACTTTGGGAACACGGTGAGGAGAATTAGACTTCGATGCGCGTTTTACATTAATAGCGTCTGTTTTTCGAGAAACTTTAAGTCGATGTTGGATGATTTCGTCCACCACGCTACATATTTTTTCTTGCCGTGTTTCATCGTCTGTTTGGGTGTCATTTTCTGGCGGGGATTCACCATCGTGTCTGCTCTCCTGTAATTGTCTAACAAGGTCCCTCACATCTGCCTTGTTGGCGATATTCACCTTATGAGACGCCAGTCGGCCAGACGTGTGGCGGGTTTTAGCGGACAGTCTGCTCTGCTCGTCCATTGCCCTTTTTGAAATCAGCTTCCTTGCAAGTTCTTTTAAAATGTTTTTGGTTTTCGCGCGGCTTTCACTTTCAGGACGTGTTATCTTGGGGACCTTACCCAAAATAGAAGGGCACGTGGCGACAAAAGTTCTTTTTCGGGTTCGGGTAAACTTTGCATGCTCTGACACACTTTCATCCGTGTTCTCGTGTTCATTTGATACTTCAGACTGTGAATGTGACCCTTCTACCTTCGTTTTCAACTTTTCTTCAGTGTCTTTGGTTTTCAGTTTGCTTGCATCATCTGAAGCTATAGAATCGCCCAAAGTATTTACGTGGTTCAGCCTTTCCATCTCACTTGCAGCTTCTTCTTTATTTTCGGAGCTAACATTTGGAATGTCCTGAGTCGCCACGGTTGCCATAGGCCTAATTTTCGCTGGCAATTCAGGGGGAACGGCAGGTGGGCAAAGTTCTGCCGTGAAAAGAAGTCTCTGTAAACTTGATTTTACTAAAACAACTTGCGAGGCGACATCACTGCCGGCATCTGCTTGAAATGAATCAGAATTAATCATCAGGGCTTGTTTAGGGGTTGTCTCTGGTTGCGCTTCTGCTGCCAACTCAGGCTTCCTTACGCTTGGGCACTTAAGCAAAACATGACTCGTAGGGCTTTTCTCGTTAAGCTGGGTCTTCACTCGCTCTGTATCCGCGGAACTTGTCTGGTCCAGCAATGACATCAGGTTGAAGGTTTGAAAGGTTTCGCTGTGTATATGGCTGACAGATGTGTCCTCGGCTTGACTAATGGGGTCGGAGAAAAGTTTTGACGGACTACTGTTTATATGAGAGCTAGCTTTTAATTGGCCAATGTTTACATGAGAGATGACTTTTGACTGGCTACTGTTTTCATTAGAGCTAACTCTTGACTGGCTAGTGTTTAATTGGGTCGTCTGAAAATTTTCCAGTTGTCTTGTGCCAAGCTCACTCTGCTGGTCCTGGCTAGTGAAGGTCACTGAAGTAGAGTTGTGCTCGGAGTTTTCAAGTTTCAAGACTGACATCTGATTACATTCTGTGTTACTCGCGGTGATCATTCTTAGGTTATTCTCATGCCGAATGAAACTCATCTCCTGCTCGGACACCTCACGCGGTTTCTTATTTTCATTACCAATGCAAGATTTAACATCTTCAACCCTGGCTTCCTGGTGTGCGTTGACCACGTTAACGACTGGTATTTCAAACGGTTGAACGTTACAGAACCTGACCTGCTTAGCGCAGGACTCCGTAGAATATTTTTCAGTTGACGAATCATTGGGTTGAGGGGCAGGGGGTTGACTGTCGAAACTTTCCTGGATAGCCGTTTGTCTTATCTGATGGCCGTGAGACTCGGTGAACATTCCAACTGCAGCGTTTATAGCCTCTTCAATAGTATTTCCAAGCAGATCTTTCAGGACACTGGGGGAAATGTATCCTTTCGATAACGCTGTATGCTTTTCGTCTCCGGTGCTGCTCTGGTGCACGCCTGAAAGTTGATCAACCTTCATCGTTGAGTAACCGGACGTTGGTGACTCGCTTTCAAGACCATGTTCGCCATTTTGCTTGACCCTGTTGTATGTTACCGAGGCAAGCTTGGCACTGGTTCCGGTTTCGCCCTCCCTATCGCTTGCGCGGGCCACATCCTGGGTGGCTGACTGGTACCCACACGTTTTGTCCGGACTTTTCATTGGATTAACCGATTTCATACTTTCTTGAAGCAGCCCGATGGTAATGACGTCAACAAGGGCACTCAACCCTCTATTGCTATCCACACGATTGTGCTCTCCCTTGCAGATGGTGGCTTTACCAGGCGCAGGAATTTTCTGCCCGTTAAACTTTTCGACGGATGATCGCCCTTCGCTTATCTCATCGAAGCTCTTATTTTGTTTGCCTTTGCTCAGCCTTTCCGACAAAAGTGACTCGCTGCCCACGGACCTGTTTGTGTCATCTGGCAGTGAGTCGCGTGGCTGCAGGTAGGACGAATGTGTTTCGGATTTCACTTCAACGTGTTTATTGATATTTCCGGCTGCTCCGACAGCGTCTTGCAATTCTTTCCTGTGCAGGTATGAGTCTTGAAATAGCTCGGTATCCGCGAAGTTTGTCTGCCGTTCCTTGTCTGGACAGTTTCCTGTGCCTGGCGAGACCACGTGGACCCCGTGACCTGGCTTCACGTCTAGCTGTTGGAATTCTCTCGCCCCGAGCTCGCCGTCGTCAGCGAAGGGGTTATTTGTTAACATGGTCAAGCCCACATCAGGGTCACCAGGGTTGACATTTTGTTCTACAGCAGGCTTTGGTGTTTTCTCAGCCTCAGAACGAGAGACTGTATCTTTTTTTGGAGTTACAGATGACGAGCGAGCGTCACTCAGTTCCAAGAAATCTCGCTCTTTGGTTTCAATCGGTGGTAGAGATTTTTTATCTGAACTCATGGACTCGGAATATTGCTCTTGGAGTTCTTTGATGGATTCCATGACTGGCTTCTTTGCGTTGAGACATTCAGGTGTTTTGGCCCGAAAAATGGGTGGTGATTTTTTAAGAGTGGCCAGGAAAGTTGATTGAGGTCGAGGATCTTTTATTTCAGGCGTCTTCTCCTTTCTTATTGTAATTTTTTCCTTTGGCTGGACTTCACGGGCCACCAACCCTTCCCTTGGACCGACCACTCGAGGATAGTAAACATCGTCTGCCACTTTTGAAATCTTTGCAGGAACTGATTTCAAAACAGGCGCGGACCTCTGAGACTTGTCTGTGGCCTTCTCTTTGCTGTTGAATGTTGTCATTGAATGGCTTGACTTCACACTTGGATTGCACGCCGCTGCTCTTATTGTGTTTTTTGCACGCCTCGTCTCAGCGCTGTTGTATGAGCTGGGATTGGTGGAAACGTTCTTCTGAATGTCCTTCAGCTTTCTCGTATTTAAACGGGTCAGTGACACCTTCTGGTCAACCTGATCGCTGGTCTTACGTGTGACTGTGTCCTCTGACATAAATCTGTTAATCGAATGTCTTTGGGGTTTATCAAAACCTTCATGCAGGTTACTCGCGGCTTGGCTGGCGCGAATACTTCCGTCTGATGGCAAGGGCCGATGATCTGGTCCGCGCGACGAGTCTCTGCTGAAGCCGCCTGGCGAGGTTTTGTCCTTGATGACGTCGGAGAAACACTGACCGTCCGCTATCTCACAGAACGTGTCCTGGCTGTAACCGGCTGACTTGGACATGCCTCTCAGTTCGGACGTTGACGACGGCCTCATCTCGGGTCTCTTCAGCACGCAGACGATCTGGGACGGCAGCGCCGCCTCTGATGATATCTTCATCAAACTCGTGCACGAGATGTGTCTCCGACGACACAGGTTTAATTTGTGCCTTGGTCTCCTCGTGACGGCCAAGTCTTTCATCGGCCTCGCGGTGTTTTTTTCTTCCCTAACCTCTGGATTTCGTTTACTCAAGTCCCTCGCCATCAGCTGCTGGAGATCCGGTATTTCACGGTGCCGTTTGACGTCCGCTGTAATCTTAGCAAAACTAGTCTGGGCTCCGAAAGGCTTAATGCACAGCTTCGTAAAACTTTTTGACTCCAACACGTGCTGGGGGAATTTCTTTTCGCTTTGAGAGACAGCCACCTCCAGACTTCTCTTGGATCTCAATCCATGTCGAATGTCGTCGTAGGAACTTATTTTTCGCTTGCATGCACGTTTTATGCTTTCCAGCTCTCTTCCTCTTGCCCGGAGAGCCGTGCAAAGTTTCGGACCTTTGGGAAAGACCGTTTTCTTAACTGTGCCGCTCTCCTTGCTCTCTAAGACATATTTCACGTTTTTCTGCTCGTTCAGCAAGTCGTACTGTGCGAGGGACGTTAATTTGGAGTACACGTAGGCGGGGGATCCTTTGATGGTTGTTCTCCTTGAGGTCTCGTTGTTTCTCCCCAAAGATATGATGGACTGCCTTCTCCGTAACAACGATTTAGAAGATCGAACTGGTATGTTTGACTCAATTATACCTGACACTGATTTATTCAGACTTCCTGCCGTTTTCGAAGCCAGAACATTTCTCTGAAATTTCCCTGAAATTTTGGATCTGTGCACACACAGATTCTTTTTATGATCTTTCAAGTCTTTCTTAACGACATCTGGCTCCATAGCCTTGTCGCTCACTACTGATAAAATTTGGATGGTCGATTTTTTGCTTGGATTCGTGGCCAAAGACTCGTTTGTTTTTGCATCGATGTCCCAGCTGCCAGGGCTGACTGGGTTGTCTTTAACCTTGGCAGAGTTGTCGTCAGGTTTGATTACTGCTGTGCTTATCACTGGACTCGGGGTATGCGGCTTTCGTTCAGACGGATTTATTTTCTCATGCTTATCACTGGCACTGACCACTCTTCTTGGACTCTTGTTGGCCTCTGGTGTCGTTTCAATTCCTTCCTTTGGAGAAGTCAGTTTTTCGCCTGTGACCTTTTTAACGCGTGCCTGTTTTAGAATCATCTTCGAACGCTGAAGCAAAGACGTTATATCCGGACTAGGAGTCAACGATTCTGGCCGACCGGTCCTCTCTTGCGTATACGATGCCGTCCGCAACACGACCTTCGGCGGGCTTTGATTGGCGACGTTGACCTCTGATCCGTCTAAGACCAAACATGTCCTGGTCTGCGTCTCGTTGCTCTTCTTGACATTTGTCTCACGCTGGTTTAAACGTTCTGTTTCCGATCTCTGAGTCTCGGGTGCGTTCGGGGCGTTTCTCTTGGGGTGCGGCATCAGTTTTGGCGAGAGGGGCGTGCACGATTTGACCGGTGCCGAGAGATCGCCGCTCCCACCCGAAACATTCACGGGAGCGTTCTTTTTAACGATTTTTCCGGGGCTGTCGAGGCCGCGCACATCAGCCCCGTCTCTTCTATCTTCGTATGCCAGCAGGCCTTCCCGTCGGGCATCGTCGCCCGTCAGTTGACGACCACTCTTAGCATGTGGGGCTGCGCTTTCGTTGAAGCGCTTTGTTTTTTCCGGCGAGAGGACGTCCGCGTTTTTATTTGGCGGAGCGGCGACATTCACGTCTGCGTTCAGCTGTTTTGATTGGCTGTCGTCGTCAAGCCGGTGTCCCGTGAGTAAATAGTCGTTATTTGTTTTTCGTCGTTTGTCCGTTGTCGGTTCGACCATTGGTTCGTGTTGATTGGCAGAAGTCGACACTTTACACACGTACTCGGTACAGATCCTTCTAGGGGGAGATATAGATTTCTTCTGCCCGAAAGACTTATCGATCGCCAGGAAAACGTCCTCGAACTTTTTGATGGTGTGACCCGATGACTTCATCGCCTCTTGGGGCGTGGATGCCACCACAAGTGGTTCATGAGCATCTGAGTCGTTCTTATAAAAATCAGGAAAGACTCTTTTTTTCAACGCCTTGCCTAAATCAATGGCTGGTTTTTTCTGGGCATCATTTTTCAGTTTTGTTTGCTCGAAAAGCTGATCCAAAGTCTTGCCCTGCCTCAGCGAGCACATGTCTCTCAAAGTCGACTCCTTTTGTGACCTCTCATGGAAATTACTGCCAATCCATGTATTGGGCTCTATGGATTTCTTCAGCTCTTGTTCCCCAGCTTTTTCTGACTGCGATGCTCGAGGAGCCTCATAATTCCTGCCCGTGACCCCATTCCGTATTCGTATAGGGGGTACAATCGAGTCAATATCTAAATCCATTGTTTTTGCATCCGATGCGGGTTGTATTTTGTCTTGCGCTGTCGACTCGCTGCTTGGGTTCTTCTTCTTCATAACTTTAGCATCCAGATCCCGCTTCATATTCTTAAGAACGCCCTTTTTCCAGTTTCTCACGTCAAACTTCACCGCCAGTTTTTTCCTATTCACTTTGTTATTAGCTGCCTCTGTTTTGTCCAGGGTCTCGGGCGCCCTGCCGTTGGTTGGTTTTCTCTTAGGGCGCGCAAAGAGCGGTGAGTCGCTCAACGGCTTAATGAAATGACTGTTCATTTTCATGGGAGCTGATGGGGGGACGGGTGGCGGGTTGGGCGGTGGGATGGCCTTTTCCAAAGGGCATTTCAGGTTCTGATTATGATAGTGTGAAAGTGGTGGGAGACCGAAATGAAATTTTGTTAAAGTCTTACTGGCTTCTTTCAAGTTTACTTCTTTTTCTTGTGGTAAAGTGTTCAGTGCCACCGCCGCTGATTGAGGCGCATCGTTCTCCTGGTGGTGAATGGCAGGTTTCTCTTTATCCGCAACATCTTGTGACGGCTCATTTTTGGTCTGTACGTCATATCTTTTTGGGCTTGATTCCTTTAATTCTAGTCGCCTTTTCTCCTCCTGCTCGATGTGATTTAAAAAAGACGAAAGTGTTGGGAAAACTTCAGATTTGGGCCTCTTCTTCCTGGACATGACGGAGCCGATGCCCAGCGGTTCAACCGAGTTGAGCTGTTCGTACTTGGTCGTTATGCCCGAGTTACACAGCAGCAGCGTTGTTTTGATGGGGTTCTCGCTCTCTAAGATAAACTTTTCCAACTCTGGGTGAAATTCAGTGGACGAACATGTTGTTTTCCTGGGATGTGATTTCTTCCTGGACCTCCCGCCATCTAGTGACTTCCCAGACATCGTCTTCAGCGTCTCATTCACACGACTCCACTCGATGGCCGAGGGCGTGCCGCGCGCCCAGTTATCGATATTGATTCTCTCTCGTTTGTCACTGGCTATGATAGTGATCCCGGAGTTGGTTTCGATGTGGTCCGTCGCCGATGTGCGTGTGCCATGTGAGCATGGGCTGTGCTCCCGGGGGGATTCGAGGAGTAGTTTCTCTCTGGCCTTACAGCTCTTTGGCGATATCGACTTCATGTTGGGCGAGACAACTCTGTCACCCCTGCGTGTCGAGACTTTTCCCTTTGTGGACACGCATTCCTCGTTAAGGGCGTAGAGCGACTCCACCATATGTATCTGTTCGTGGCTCTTCGTTGATAAGGTTCTACTGAAAGGGACAGGCTTGTTAGTGAACTCTGACATCCTGCGTGAACTGAAGGAAGCAGTATCTCGCCTGCAAGCGGCAAAATCGTTTTCACCGAAGTATTTATACAATCGGAACATGGCTTCCTCCTTGCGGACTGCATCCCGTGGATCAATGACAGGCTTGGGGACATCAACGTTCCTAACTGTCTCACTCTTGTCTGATTTGGATTTATCCGTTCCAACTGCAGTCGAAGGACCATTGGCACACGTTTTATCGCTCTTTGACCTTCTCGTAGAATCTTTCTTCTCTATCGTCGAGGGAACTTTTACTGCCATAGCTTCGGTTCCCACACGATTCCCATTTTTTATAGAAACGTCCTTCGTGGGTGCGCCTACAGCAGTCACGACCTTTGTGGTTGAAACCTCCGTCGTGGGTGCACCTACAGAAGTCAAGACCTTTTTTCGCTTGCCACTCTTCTTAGTTTTAGCTTTATTGTCCATCGATGGTGGGGCCTGTTTGATGTCTACGGTGTTTAGACCGGGCGGCATCATCTCCTGGAGGATACTCTTGTCACCAGCATGTTCGGAAACAAGCTTACAAAATGACGTGATATCGTGTGTGGAGGGACCCGTTGCTCCATCGACACGTTTGGCGGGTCTTTTGCTCCTTGTTTTAGAGAAAATACTTCTCATTTCATTGGCGTAGCCTTTCAGCTCTCTCAGAATCCCCCTTCCCTCCGTTTGAATACCTTTTGCCTTCTCAGAAAACCCTTTCAGGTTTCCTTTGTTCACACATAGAGGCAGGCCGGTGAGTTCCAGATCCATGTCCTTGACCCTTGGCTCGTCCCCCTCGACAACAGTCGGTTTTTCTTTTTCCTTGGTTTCAAAGTTTACGGGTTTAGCTTTGCAGGCCAGCTCTCCGCTGAGCAGGTTGACTTTACCAGAAGTCGGGTGGACGTGGTGCGCAGACAAGGCCTCGGTGTTTACGACATCTGGCTTTTTATTTGTCGAATTTTTGCGTTTCCTCGTTTTGACATCAGAGTGACATTTGATGGATATGCAAGACATGAATGACTTGACCTGCGAGCATTTAGCGCCAGCCGTTTCCTTGGAGGACCGGCCTTCCTTTTCTTTTGTCGTGGACTTGGTGTGCGGTGTCTTTCCAGTGGTGGGCAGAGGCTTGGAGCCTAGCTTTATGATATGGGTCGTGTGAGACGTGGCGTCGGGGAGCTTGGACGTTGACACCTCTGAACTGCTGACGCACCTTTTCAACAGGAGTTTGTGTTTGTCCTGAATGCTACAAAAACTTTTTTTTTTAACAATTAAAAAAAAAATTTAGTTGCCGTTTCGTGTCTTGATGTTCACTAGTGGTTCTCAAACAATGTTTGATGTCATAGGGGCTGTCAATTTGTCGTACGATAGTCTTCGCCACAAATAAAATGAGCGCTGCATTTAATTAATTTAACTAAGGACCTTAATTTATGGGATTGATCCCCAATAGCCAGAGAACTGAGTTGACTAAATAGAAATAAAGGATAAAAGGATGTCATCCAAAGGCAGAGTACTCTACAGTACAAATTAAAAAAAACAACAAAGCCCATAGCGGCTTTTAAACCAACGATTAGTTCCCTTTGCTCGCCTAATCAAATCATCCGTTTGACAACTTTGTGACTGCCTCCCCTATCCCCCTTTACCGTCCACGATGACGTCATTAAACAGTCAATCAAATAAACTCTCGTGACCGAAAATTAAGAAATAAAATGTCTAAATCGTACACCATTATTATAATAGTTAATATCCGGTTATACTGCTGTTTGGAGAGTAGACATATTGTCTGTTCTCTCTTTAGTGTTGTCAAAATAATATCTCTAGTAATGTTTAGCTACGTCTTGTTATTAATGTTGACAATCAAAACAACATTAAAAAAAAATACATATCTTATAACTTTGATTAAAATATATTCCTTAAATTGTTAATTTTAGGACCCCTGAAAACCTATGTAGGCCTATAATGTAAACACCCCCCCCCCCCCCCATTTTTTTTTTTTTTTTAAAAATACTATAATAAATTAATATAGCATAAGTTTTGAGAGCCACTTGTCTAGATACGCTTTATTAAAAACTAGGAGCCATAATAGCGTCGATCAGCGCGCCAATGGATGTCACATGTTTAGTGCAGAGTGTATAGCAAACTAGTTTCAAAGAAGCACACTGTCTTGGTAGATACAAGTTTGGCATATCAATACGTTCTAATTAGAAAGCTAATTTTTGCTGAGCTTAAATTAATGATACAACTTAAATTGGCTACACTCTTAAGATTTAGAAAATGTATATTAGCTACTCGTGTGTAATTATAGGAATTAGTTTGGCTACTCACTCGGACCTAGAAATGTCGTCAACTCTCTTGACCTGTTGACAGACGATATGGACAGAGTGAACAATTGAGGAGGTGCTACACCAATTATGTTGGCTATTGTGGCCAGTTATGTTGGATATAGTGGCCAGTAATGAAGGATAAAATGGCCAATTATGTTGGTTATAGTGGCTAGTTATGTCGGCTACAGTCTCCAGTTGTGTAGGTTATAGTGGACAATTATGTTAGCTTTAGGGGTCAGTTATGTTGGCTATGGTGGCCAGTTATGTTGGTTATAGTGGCCAGTTATGTTGGCTACTATTAGTGACCAGTCATGTTGGATACTATTAGTGACCAGTTATGTTATTGGCTACCTTTAGTGACCAGTTATGTTGGCTACTATTAGTGACCAGTTATGTTGCCTACTATTAGTGACCAGTTATGTAATTGGCTACCATTAGTGACCAGTTATGTTGGCTTCTATTAGTGACCAGTTATGTTGGCTACTATTAGTGACCAGTTATGTTGGCTACTATTAGTGACCAGTTATGTTGGCTACCTTTAGTGACCAGTTATGTTGCCCACCTTTAGTGACCAGTTATGTTGGCTACAATTAGTGACCAGTTATGTTGGCTACCTTTAGTGACCAGTTATGTTGGCTACTATTAGTGACCAGTTATGTTGCCTACTATTAGTGACCAGTTATGTAATTGGCAACCATTAGTGACCAGTTATGTTGGCTTCTATTAGTGACCAGTTATGTTGGCTACTATTAGTGACCAGTTATGTTGGCTACTATTAGTGACCATTTATGTTGGCTACTATTAGTGACCAGTTATGTTGGCTACTATTAGTGACCAGTTATGTTGGCTACTATTAGTGACCAGTTATGTTGGCTACTATTAGTGACCAGTTATGTTGGCTACTATTAGTGACCAGTTATGTTGCCTACTATTAGTGACCAGTTATGTAATTGGCTACCATTAGTGACCAGTTATGTTGGCTTCTATTAGTGACCAGTTATGTTGGCTACTATTAGTGACCAGTTATGTTGGCTACTATTAGTGACCAGTTATGTTGGCTACTATTAGTGACCAGTTATGTTGGCTACTATTAGTGACCAGTTATGTTGGCTACTATTAGTGACCAGTTATGTTGGCTACTATTAGTGACCAGTTATGTTGGCTACTATTAGTGACCAGTCATGTTGTCTACCATGAGTGACCAGTTATGTTGGCTACTATTAGTGACCAGTTATGTTGGCTACTATTAGTGACCAGTTATGTTGGCTTCTATTAGTGACCAGTTATGTTGGCTACCTATAGTGACCTGTTATTTTGGCTACTATTAGTGACCAGTTATGTTGGCTACTATTAGTGACCAGTTATGTTGGCTACTATAAGTGACCAGTTATGTTGGCTACTATTAGTGACCAGTTATGTTGGTTACTATTAGTGACCAGTTATGTTGGCTACTATTAGTGACCAGTTATGTTGGCTACTATTAGTGACCAGTTATGTTGGCTACTATTAGTGACCAGTTATGTTGGCTACCTTTAGTGACCAGTTATGTTGGCCACCTTTAGTGACCAGTTATGTTGGCTACTATTAGTGACCAGTTATGTTGGCTACTATTAGTGACCAGTTATGTTGGCTACTATTAGTGACTAGTTATGTTGGCTACTATTAGTGACCAGTTATGTTTGCTACTATTAGTGACCAGTTATTTTTGCTACTATTAGTGACCAGTTATGTTGGCTACTATTACTGACCAATTATGTTAGCTACCTTTAGTGACCAGTCATGTTGGCTACTATTAGTGACCAGTTATGTTGGCTACTAGTGATCCCATGTCTCACAATGCAGGATACTTAAGCGGTCCCCAAATAATAATGCACTTATTTAATGGATTATTATCTTCGTGTATAAATTTCTGATCCTGAAAACGTTGCCAAGACTTTTGACTGACACATACTAAATCGGGAAAACTGTTTTTAAAATAAGTAAAACTTAATCTTTATAGAAAACATAAAACGGACTGATTTCGTGGTCTCTGCATGGCATTAAATTGTGTCTTCTCTATAAATGAGAATGGAAAAATAATGTTTTACCGCTGCTTTAGTTTTCCTTGAGGGGATCTTCCACTTTTCAAAATCTTTAAAGATGAATTTTCCAAGCTTTCTAAAACTGAAATAGTAATTTTTAAAAATGTTATATAGATGGCACAATCATAAGGAGTAAAGAATATTATCTCGATGGCACAATCATAGGGTGTAAAGAATGTTATCTAGGTGGCACAATCATAGGGAGTAAAGAATGTTATCTCGAGGTAAAATCATAGGAGATAAAGAATTTTATCTATATGACACAATCATAGATAGTAAAGAATGTTAGACATTTACAAAAGGGATTTAACAGCAGGATTTATATAAAAGAGATTTTACTACACATTTTACAATAGACATTTTACAATAGACATTTTACAGTAGACATTTAACAATAGACATTTTACAGTAGACATTTAGCACTAGAAATTTTACAGCAGGGATTTTAAAGCAGGAATTATATCGTAGACATTTTGCTGCATAGATTTTACAGTAGATATTTTGTGTCAGACATTTGACATTAGACATTTTACAAAAGACTTTTTTACTGTAGTAATGTTACAGCACATATTTTACATGAGACATTTACAGTTACATTTAACAGCAATAACTTTACAGATATAACTGTACGTTAAACATTTTTACAGTTTGACATTTTACATAAAGACATTTGTAAAAAGTCACTTTTTTTCTCAAAAGAACTTTATTTTCATCCCGCTACACATGTGTCTATGTTGACCAAATTGACAGTCAGCAACAGGTGTGTCTATATTGACCCTCACTGTCTGTCAGCTACAGATCTGTCTATGTTGACTTCACTTACTGTCAGCTACAGACGAGTCTATATTATACCCCACAGACTGAATAGTTCGGCATATACATCAAAACTTGTTTACTGATGTGTTAGAATGTAGACTACACTTCGCTCCAGCAATTCTCCGAGTACACTTAGCTCCAGCAATACCCTGACTACGCTTGTCTCCATCGATTCCCAGACTACACTTGGCGCCAGCAATCCTCTGACAACTGTTGGCTCCATAAATTCCCTGACTACGCTTGGGTCCAGCAATCCCCTGATTAAACTTGGCTCTAGAAATCCCCTGACTTCACTTAGCTCAAGCAATCCCCTGACTACACTTGGCTCCAGCAATCCCATGACTACAACTGGCTCCAGCAATCCCCTGACTACGCTTGGCTCTAGCAATCCCATGACTACAACTGGCTCCAGCAATCCCCTGACTACACTTGGCTCCAGCAATCCCATGACTACGCTTGGCTCCAGCAATCCCATGACTACGCTTGGCTCCAGCAATCCCCTGACTACGCTTGGCTCCAGCAATCACCTGACTACACTTGGCTCCAACAATCCCCTGACTACACTTGGCTCAAACAAATCCCATGGCCCCAGCAATTCCCTGGCCTCCCCTGGCTCCAGGAAATCCCATGACTACGCTTGGCTCCAGCAATCCCCTGACTACGCTTGGCTCCAGCAATCCCATGACTACGCTTGGCTCCAGCAATCCCCTGACTACACTTGGCTCAAGCAAATCCCATGACTACGCTTGGCTCCAGCAATCCCA